GCCATGCAAAAAAAAAAAAACGCCTTGCGGACAATGGAGGGTTTGGCTGACACCGTAACTGGTATCATACCCATCCCACATGTGATTTGAAATTTTCAAAAAAAGTAACTGTGCAATGTTCTTACTGCATCTGGCTTTAGACAATATTTATAACATATTTTTCATGTTAAATATTGTGTAAAACTCAGACCTGTCCTACTTTTTATACCGCCTGAAATTAATTTATGTTAGGGCTGGGCAGTATCCACAATAGAAGAGTATCGCGGTAGTATTTTCAGAGATACTTTTTGTATCTGTATCTCTATAAAAGACGTGAAAAATGTATTTGCATCTTAAAAATGAAATACTTCTATGATGGATCGACTGTATCGTGGTACTGTGCAGTACACGGTATGCCGTTACTTTTTTGTCGGGAATGATATGATGGTTTGTAAAGGGGAAAGGAAGACTTTTTACTAAGTCAGGCAAAGGCACAGAAAAAGCGGGCAAGGGTTGCCCACATGCACAGAATGGACGATGTGGTAAAGCATTCAACCCCACTGACAGCGAAACCACAGCTCTAGTATTGACTGTCAAAAAGGTTATTTATTGATTGATATGTGGTGTTTACCGTCCCGAAACCACCATATGATTATGAGAGACGCCGTAGTGGAGGGCTCCGGAAATTTTTACCCCCTGGGGTTCTTTTAATGTCACCCACATCTTAGCACACGGACCTACAGCATTTCCGCCTCCACTGGAAATGCAGCCGCCGCAGCTGGGATTCCATCCCACGACCTGCAAGTCAGCAGCCGAGTACCTTAGCCACTAGATCACCACGGTGGGGCCTGTCAACAAGTCGCCATCATTCAAGGTTAGCGCAGCAGCCCTATTCTTTTTTGAAGGCCAGTCATTCACCACCCAACCAAAGCTATAGTCAACCGCATAGCATATCTGAGAAGGTGCTCATATCTAAGTACATATAAATGAAGAGCCTTCTCAGCAAAGCAGACTTTCTGCGTAAAAGACTTTTTTATCGTCAATCATGTTTGTTAGTGAATCGCACAGTATGCTTTACTTGTAAGTTGATAGTGCTGCTACATCACTCACAATATTATGCTGCACTTTCATAAATGCACTTGCGGAGAAATCCCTGAAATAAAGAAAAGTGTTCCACTACATGTACTCTTGTAACTGTACTTTGGAATAATGTTTTCTTTTTGGAATGTATCTTTTAAATATCTTAATACGACAAACCCAAATGTATCTCGGTATCAAATATAGGCTTTCGAAAAGGTCATGGATATTGATAACTATATTCCAGAACACATTTCTTGAGTAGCCCAGCTCTGCTTTTTGTAGACTGAATGGCACTAAAGGTGATATTGCTCCCCTCCATATGATTTGAGATTGCCGAAGAAAAAATTTTCCTCTTGTGTATGAATTTAGACAATATTTATGCATATTTTCTATGATAAAATTGTGTTAAAGTATAAGACTGAGCTACTTATTATCTAAAATTACTTTTTGTGTTGTTTAACTGGTACTATATCTGGTATCTTACCCTCCATGTGATTGGACAAAGCCAAAGAAAAAACTGCACAATGTTCCCTCTACGTGTGACATTACACAATATTTATATGCATATTTATATGCATATTTATATGCCCATACTGCAGTGTACATATTCCGTACACTCCCCCTGTTGCTTGTTATGGCAATCTGATAGTATGTTTGGAGCTTCTGAATGGCTGGCTCTTTCATTTTCTGCCCTCGTGGTAATGGCACATGCAGCTTCCGTAGCGCGGTGCCAAGTCTCTTGGCCACATGATTAGTGCAGTCTTCTTTTTCTATATTGACAGCACCATAGACTTTTGACTCTGCAACTGCACTATATACTTTGCTGTCACCGTCACTCAAGAATGTCATGAAATGCAGTGGGGTGTCATAAGTCAATGTTCTCTGCCAAATGCGCATTGCAGCCTCCGTTTCCATGGCATGGGAGGAACAGTCTGCATTTTTTTCACAGACTGGGCCATGGAATGCCTGCCACACTTCCTCGTCTGGGCCCATATCCTTGTGCCTACTGCATGTCAGGCAGTAATTTGATATGACCTCGAAGTCTAAGCAGAGGCCAGTATCTAAGGAGATAACTGCGCCAATCCCGTTGTGGCTTTTGTGGCCCCTCTTCTGCCAAGTGCCGTCGAACATAACAGCCACATCAGTTTCGCCTACTACTTCTTTCGTCAACTCTCTGGATCGGCGCAAGTTTTCACTCACAGCTGCCATGGCAGCGGTGTGCACCTCCTTTGCTATCGAAAAAAATTCTCGTGGTCCATTGGCTTTGGGAGTCCAATAATGGAGCAAAATCTCGACAATTGCTCATGCCCAATGCCGACAGCGCGTGCAGCCACCACCGCCTTCACATTTACAGCGAAACTATCTCGGGAGCTCCCACTGTCGTACCGTTGGCTCACTCGGCTGCTGCCGTCCGCCGCAACACGCAGCCAAGTACCTAAGCCACTAGATCACCACGGTGGGGCCTGTCAACAAAGTCGCCATCATTCAAGGCTAGCACAGCAGCCCTATTCTTTTTTGAAGGCCAGTCATTCACCACCCAATCAAAGCTATAGTCAACAGCATAGCTATCTGAGAAGGTGCTCATGTCTAAGTAAAATATAATGAAGAGCCTTCTCAGCAAAGCAGACTTTCTGCGTAAAAGATGATACACTTTTTTATCGTCAATCATGTTTGTTATGAATCGCACAGTATGCTTTACTTGTAAGTTTGAAAGCGCTGCTACATCACTCAGAATATTATGCTGCACTTTTATAAATGCACTTGCGGAGAATATCCCTGAAATAAAGAAAAGTGTTCCACTACATGTACTCTTGTAACTGTACTTTGGAATAATTTTTTTCTTCTTTTTGGAAATGTATCTCCTAAATATCTTAATACGTCAAACCCAAATGTATCTCGGTATCAAATAGGCTTTTGAAAAGGTCATGGATATTGATAACTAATTCCGAATACTTTCTAGAGTATCTGCCCAGCTGTGTTTTTGTGTGTAGATATGGCACTAAAGGTGGTATTGCTCCCCTCCATATGATTTGAGATTGCCAAAGAAAAATGTTTCTCTTGTGTGTGAATTTAGACAATATTATATGCATATTTTCTATGATAAAATTGTGTTAAAGTATAAGAACTGAGCTACTTATTATTACCTAAAATTACTTTTTGTGTTGTTTAACTGGTACTATATCTGGTATCTTACCCTCCATGTGATTGGACAAAGCTAAAAAAAAAACTGTACAATGTTCCCTCTACGTGTGACATTACACAACATTTATATGCATATTTTTCATGTTATAATTGTGTGAAAACTAATGTTTAAATTGTGTTACATGTGTTACTAATCGCAATGCCTCAAATTACTGCTGTGTACCATGCAAGAGAAAATAAAAACAAATGGCAAGGTGCAGCACCTCGTAAACTAGTTCACGTATTGCAGGCAAATTGAATGGACCTTCTTGCAAGCCCTACATTTAGAGAAACATTTGTTTTTGGGCCTACAGAAGACCTTACGACTCTGTGCATCTTGAAAGATGTAGTCACGGCACTTTTTGCAGCTTAAGACAGTCGTTTTGGTCAGTCTGAAATACCATGCCACATTTAAATTTCTGCTCTGTGTGGTCAGCAAGATCGCCATTTCTACCAATGCGGCGGTATATTGATTACACCTGTTCGTTATCTCTTTGTCAAAATATTGGCTCCAGCAACATTCCCTGCCCAAGGAGTTATCCATGTTATCGAAACAAGATTTTGAGTACTGCCTTGCTGATATAGCCCCTCCATATGCTACCATAGGCAGCCAAAGCATAAACATGCATGTATGTTTCGTGTGAGTATTGTGCATTTAGAATTTTTTGATAACCTTTAATGTTCCAAAGTAGTTTTGGCACAATTGAAATTTAAAAAAAATTAAGCACGACCCCCCCCCCCCTTCTGGTTTCTTCAATGGGCATTATCAAAGGCAACAATTCACTTCAGAAGTTCACAGAGCAGTCTAAAGTGTTGGACATACCTTAGCAGGTTCTGACTGAGTTAAACAAAACAACATGGCTACTGCCAGCCAAATAATTACCGATCGACTTGTGCTGTCACAGTTCTCCCTTTTTGGTCCCCGACCAGACGGAATATCATCAGATTCGGCATTCTACGCTCTAAATACCAGCGCTCGAGCTCTGGCGGCAGCCGGCCGCTCGCGATTGAAACCTGCCGGTCAAACCACAACCAGACGACAGTTGCCGCCACGGTTTTCATTTTCAGCGGAGATTTCCCCTAGCTAACTACCAGCATTCACATGTTCCCGCACTAAATGCCAGCACTCTGCGCTCGACGGCCACTCACGAAAGTCACTCGGCAAATGTCCGTGTCGGCAAATCTCATTTTCCCCGACAGGAATGCCGGCATTGCCCACGTCACTAGAGCCGGCCAATGAGAAGACACTGCCGGCCGAGTTCAGCCGGCGCTATTCAGCCGGATGCCGGGCGAATATCAACTCCGAAAGAACAGAGCGACCGGCTTTACATTGACATCGCAAAAGACCCACCGTAACATCACAAACCCGCGCGGTTCGTATCCACCATTGCAATCCACGCCAGCACCTACAATGTCGTTCCCAGCCCTGCCCACCTTCACTTAGAATCAGCAGAGAACGCGCAACGCATGGCAGCCTTTCTTGTTGGCATGATGACGACGATGGCAAGTCACGCGAACCAAGTGCATGTGACAACACTACCACATCTCTCAGCTTCGCTGCGTTTCACGTATTTCACGAACGCGGGAAACACCAAACAAGGCAAGCGACTGCGCAACTCGTTTTCATTTGACCGTGTGTCAGTTCACGTGACACTGCCCGTGCGAAGCAAGAAATGGTCACTCGCTACCTCGGTATCAAGTGTATTACTAACAATAATCAACTTCAGAGCAAAACCACAATGAAAAGACCAAGATCCTACCTGTAGAGGCGTGTTCCGCGCGTCATGCTTCAGGCAGCAGCCGCCTTTGCACCTCGCGCGCTCTAGTTCTCAGCCCGATAGCACGTATGGCGAAAGCTCTGATACACTCATAACAACTCGTGTTCAACTATTCTGTCTATTAACATGAAAGAAAAGACGATAATTCCACACCACACATGTCAGAACACAAAACCATGCTTGCGCTTTAACTTGTGAATCTTACAACGTGCCACATGACGCACAGTGTTGCTAGGTCTCAAAAGTCGCACTGTCAAAATTTGCATAAAAATTTTAGGAATTATTTTTCATTCCTGTCAAAGACTGTGGTCAGTAGAAAAGAACAATGTGAAAGTCTAAAAACGTCACACCAAATAAAATTGAAGCAGAAACTATAAATAGTCAAACTTAAACAAATACGCCAGAAGCTTTTTTCATTCTTAAATGGGCCAAATCTAGAAACGAAACTCATGCCAAAGCTAACGTAAACAAGGTTCTACCGGTGTATACATGTTTCCAGCTTTCTTTTGAAACAGTAGTAATAAGCTAGTAATAATAATGTAGTAATTTGCTATTATCATTTTAGAGGAAAGTTGAGAGTATGAATGCGCCCTTACAGCCCAATTTGAGCCAGTTTCGGTTCTGGATTTGGTTCATTTTGAAAAAATGTTCCTCGTATATACGGAGTACAGCTACTCAGAACATTTGCCAACAAATAAAGGCAAAGAATGTCCCCCTGATGGAGAATCAATAAAGATAAATAAAAAATGAGCAGCTGTGTAGTAGGATCAGTGAATGATAGGAGAACAAGTGAAGATGTCATACATGCGATCAGTTTTTTTGTCATAAGCCTGTATCGAGTAACGTTTCGGTGTTATTCTTTTTTTTTTGACAAGAAGACCGTTATGCTCAAAGTTTTCATTGTAGTCGCACATGCAGACACAATAATCTTTGCGTATCTGAAAGTTATTCCAAATACTTGTTCAACTTATATATTTAACAGAAAAGTTCATAAATAAAAAAGGACTCATCCCACGACGTGAGAAGATCAATGTTGTCCGGTAACGTAAATATTGGTCTCAAACTGCTCTCAAAAATGACAACTGAAGATGATAGATCACAAAATGCACAACAGACGCATTTTAGCACAAATGACAAAAAGAGGCATTTAAGTTCTAATTCATGCTGGTAGGTCAAGGTGGGGTGACAGGAACACAAGAACAAAGGGATGGGCATTTGCCTAAAATAAAACCTCCACTCATGGCATGCCATTGCATTATTCATATTTTATAAAGGTAATAAAAAAACCCTGAAACACAAAAGAAGCTAAATTTCACGTCTACAAAGCGTCTTGGATGGCTACTCGAAGAGGCTCATAGACGTTTCAGTCAAGACATTTTATTGCCATAGACAGCTATCGGACCATCAGATAGCTTTGCTAATGTCCAGCTAATTTTCATCTACAAGAAGTCTTGCAACACCAAGCTTACACGTTTTTGTTTTATTGCGTGCCGCTAGTTGTCACCTGAAAGAAGTCTTGCAAGACCAAGTATAGACAAGATGCGAAAGTTGGGCTAGTTTGTGGTTCATACCTGGATGTAGAAACAGCGCAAGTATACAGACAAAGATGGAAGAAGAGACGACAAGGTGCTGAACTTGCAACTAAATTTTATGAGAAGGAACACACACATATATCGGGTAGAAGCCCTGGTGACATGGCACACCATGGCGACTGTGCAACAGAGCCGACAGGGTGCATAAACGCATCTTCACAAAGAAAATCGACACATGCGTCAATACCCCCCCCCCCCAAATAAGAAAAACAAAAAAATAATAATGACCACACCTATTTGCAAAACATATATTACGTTAAAAAATACAAACAATATCGATTTAACCTAACAGTGAAACCGAAGTATCCAGCCTCTTTTTCACAAATTGCCACGGACGGTTCGCTCACACATTTTTCTTCCTCCCTTTCAATGTAAAAGCCTCCAACCTCTCTCTAGGACATTTGTCCCAAACAAGTTTTTCTGTCCACCAACGGCTAACAGCCACACTCCTGCAATGAGCTTTCAAGTGCAGACTGCCAGAAGTCGTCAAAGAGGCTAAGTGCTTCTTAAGTCTAACATTAACACACCGCCCATTTGTCCTATATAAACCCTTTTGCATGACAAAGGCAGCATATACACAACACATGACTTACATTCCATATCTAATCTTTCTATTTTCCGAACAGAACGACAGGTCTTGTGAGAAACCGAATGCTTATGCACTCGGGAGCAAATAGAGGACAACTTTATGGGTGCTGACATTACTACATGTACCCCATACCTACTGGCCATGGTCTTTAAGCTATGAGGAAAATTATGCACATAGGGGACAACTACCGGTCTGTTTTTTTTTTTTTGCGCACGAGCTCTGTTGTCCTGCGCGATTCTTTACAGCTTTGACCCACTTGATAAGTTTTCGACAGCCCCTTAAGATTTCCGTACCAGGCTAGTCCACCGACTTCAGCCTTTCAACTTGGAAAAGTTGAAAGGTTGAAATCGGCGGTATAGGCCTCCCTTCCTCGGTCAGGGAAGCTGCGCCGCACGCCAAACGGAGGTTGGACAAACAGGAGGTTAGAAGACAATCTGTTCTCACTGACGCAGGGCATAGAAATAGCAGAAAAGGAACACAGGCCCCTGTGGCAAGCATTTTTGGATATCAAGGGAGCGTACGATAGCGTGATTTAAGAGGAATTGTGGGGAATGCTGTACACACTAGGCGTCGAAGATGTAGTCACTAATCTTTTTAAGGATATTTATAAAGGTAACAAGGTAGTTATAAAGTGGAGAAAACAGGTATCCAAGCCTGCAGAGGTAAAACGGGGCCTTAGGCAGGGGTGTCCCCTGTCACCCTTATTATTCGTGATGTACCTACAAGGATTAGAGGCCAAATTAGAGGGAAGTGTACTGGGCTTCAACCTTTCTTTCGTCAAACAAGGAAAACTCATTGAACAGGCACTACCAGCATTGATGTTCGCAGATGATATAGTGCTGATGGCCTACAACAAGGAAGATTTGCAGAGATTTGTAGACATCTGCGGTAATGAGGGAGATAGGTTAGATTTCATATTCAGAAAGGAAAACTCAGCAGTCATAATTTTTAATGACAAGGAAGGTAGTGAGCTTAGAATACAGGAGGTCACGCTAGAGATAACAGATAATACAAATATCTGGGCGTAAGGGTAAGCAATGGGCCGAGTTTCTAAGGGAACACGAATATACGTGACGACTAAAGGTAACAGGAAGGCAGCGGTAATGAAAACAGGGCACTGTGGAATTACAATAAGTATGATGTTGTGAGAGGAGTATGGAAAGGGGTAATGGTTCCTGGTGACGTTCGGTAATGCGGTCTTGTGCATCAGATCAGAAGTTCAAGCAAGATTAAATTAGGCAACGTGGAATAGGCAGGCTTGCCTTAGTAGTTCACGGAATACACCAAATCAGGGAGTACAAGGTCATACGGATGGACATCATTTGATGGCAGGGAAGCTAGCAGCAAGATAAAATTTGAGAAGTGATTGAGAGAAATGGGGAGGAGCGTTGGGCTAGGAAGGTATTCAGCTACTTGTACATGAAGAATGTCGACACAAAATAGAGGAAGCGAACCAGAAAATTGACTGTTAAATACTTAGAAAACAGCAGGGGCCAAACCAAAAAGAATTATTGGCTAGAAGAAGGTGAAGGAAGCTGAGACCGATATGTGGAGAATCGGCACGATTAAGAGTCTGCACTAGAGATCTATCGAACTTTTAAGCAGGAAATTGTCAAGGAAAGGATCTATGATAATACTCGGGGTAGTTCTCTACGGTTTGAGGCCAGGACGGGAGTATTGCGGACCAAGACATATCGAGCCAAATATGAAGGGGTAGACACCAAGGAGGATTAAAAAAAATTGCCGGAGTGGAAATGATTGCGCAGAAGTGAAGCCGTTCCTCTAGCAAGATGGCGGTTGTTGCGGCCATCTTACTAGGAGCATGATAAAGTATCACCGTTCAGCGATTAAAACGAAGCGTTTCCCTAGCACGCCCAACGAGTTTAATGTGGGAACTTTTTCGGGTCACATAGTGCTCCGAATGCCGTCTTAAGTTACTAGTTTTCCGTAGGTGCGCCTCTCATGTAAGCAAAGTTGCTTTGGAAGATTCAGTCATACATACTTGGTTCTGTGTGGGTATTTTCGTCGGGAACAACTATCCCTTAGTATAGAACTAACGCAGCATTTACATACGTATCAAAGCCACTTCGATCTTTAAGTTGGGCTCTATCAGAAAAGAGCAGGTTTCCTCCATCCTTGCAGTGGCAAAAGGTGGCCTCACTTCTGCTGGTCAAGGTATGCAGGAGCTTCCACTCCAGGGAATTTTAATGGCGAATACACTTATAAGCGACCCCAAACCATCCACCGCCGTCGGCGGCGTCCGCAGTCTTCTCTCTAGCTTTAAAAGAAAGAGGAGTTGGCGGCCGCAGCACGAACGCTCTACCGAATAAGCCACGGATGCGACGCTGATATCGGGTCAGTAACGCACCTTATACCCCCTCCCTCTCGCTCGCTCCTCCGCTCTCCTCGCTCGCTGCAGCTGCTGTGCGCACCTCTCTCTCTCTCGCGCGCCCGCCTTCTCTCTCAGTCTCCCGTCGAAAAGCGGGTCGTGAGGGGGAGTAAGTTAAATCCGTCGGCATTCGCCAGTGAGTTAACATAAACTCCCCCGTGGGATCAAATTGCGATTCCCAGGAACCATTACACCATAAAGGCACCATAGTTTGATTAATAATATAATAGTGCGAATTAATAATACCCCTCATAGCATCACCCCGTGTATTCGCACTTAACCAGGTTCACCCTCGGGGAAATGCTTGGGAGTTTTTTTTTTCTTTGATCCTCCTTGGTAGACACGGTATGCAGTGCGTGTGGAGAGGAAGAAAGAGGAAGAAAAACTGCCGAACACCTGATAATGTTCTGTAGAGGGCTTCGCCCTATAGTTCAGGATGATGCGCAGAGTTTTTTCAAACCGCTTGGGTTTAGGGACAGGGAGGGCAAAATAGACTTTAAGCGGGTAGAATTAACTAGAAGGAGGTTATCTGATGGTGGCTGAAGTCAAGGCACGAGTGAAAATTAAACTCTTCACTGCAAAGT